TTCAGAGAGTTCTTTGGAGTTCTGAGAAGCAAATGGAATAATGTGCATGGAAGCATATTGGGAAGTAGAAAACTTCATACCAATGTGAGGAGTGATGAATTACGATGTGACTGGTGGTGATGGTGGAGTGGGGCTGAGGCTTCTCTGCAAAGTAAATCCTAAAGCTGTCCATCTCTCCCCATCTCCACTGCTACTGCCCTGGTTGAGCCACCTTCATCTCTTGCCTGGGCCCCAGTTGTAGCCCTCTCGGTTTCTGCTATGGCCTCTTATAATTCGTTATCCATAGGGCAGCCAGAGCGGTCTTCTTACAAAGTGTGTATCAGATCATGTCACTTCCTGGGTGAGATCTTTCCACAGCATTCCATCACGGGAAATAAACACTGAGCCCACGTGTCTGGTCCTATCTGCATCTCCAGCTTCCTTTTGTTCCCTTCTCTTGCTCGCTCTGTTTCTGAGACAGGGTAAGTTTGTCCTTTTCTGGCTGTTCTTTCTGTCTGGAACATTCTTTCCCTAGATCTTCCCGTGCCTGGCCTGGTTTCTTTTATTTAGGTCTCAAATTTCTCTCCTTTAGTGAGCCCTTTCCTGACCATCTGTGGCTGACTGTCGTTAGTTGCTGTCAAGTCATGCCGACCTTATGAGTAACAGAACAAAACATTGCTCAGTCCTGTGCCATCTTCATGATCATGGGTATGTTTTGAGTCCATTGTTGTGGCTACTGTGTCACTCCATCTCCTTGAGGATTTCCTTCATTTTCGCCGACCCTTTACTTATAGATGTCCCCAATTTAAGACAGGCCTCTTGCTTTGGGTTTTCCTCTTTTACCCTCCTACCAGCTGGAATGCAGAGATGAAGGTCAGGGACCTTCCACCACGAAGTTGCAGACCGCTCCTTACCTGTTGCCACTGAGTTGATTCTGACTCATAGTGACACTATAGGACAGAGTAGAACTGTCCCATAAGGTTTACAAGGCTGTAATCTTTATAGGAGCAGACTGCTGTATCTTTCTCGCATGGAGTGGCTGGTGGGTTCAAACTGCCAGCCTTTTGGGTAGTGCCACCAGGGCTCCTTTGACCACTCCTTAGGTAGAACACTAGATGGAAGGAACCTGGTCTCTCTGTTATGGCAGCTTGGCTTGTAACCTTACTAGGATATCACATCCAATCCAAATAGCCTCTCTAAGCGTTCCTATCACATCACCTTGTTTGGTTCTCATCATAGTACTTAGACTTATCTGCTTATGGATTTATTTGTTCATTGTCTGTTCCACACTCCCTGCTCTATGAATGCAAGCTAGATGGAGATAGGGCCTTTTTTGGTCCTGTTCAATGTAATATCTACACCCCAGAGCAGTGTACGCTATGTGATGGATGCTTAATAAATGTTTGCAGTGTTGCAGAGCCAATGATGGCATTAGTATAGTGAAGGGGGTGCTGAGGGAGTGGTGAGGAGGTGATGAACAGATGCCATCTCATCTGATCTGTTCATCAATTTTCAACACTCTCCTGCCCCGGTCCCCCTCCTTAGGAAGAAGGATGTCCAAAGGGCTTAGACACTAGTCGAGTGCCCAATGATGCTGAACTCAAGGCAGGTGGACTCCAAGGCTGTCAATCCCTTCCGCTCCCCATTGCAGCCCACGGGCAGCCAAAATTCGAATTCTGCCTTGTACAGTGCCTGGCACATAGTGGCTCCTTGTCAACTATCTGTGGAATCAAAGAATGAATGAATGGGTGCGCGCCTGCAAGAAGAGCCTTATGTCAAGTCCACCCATGTTAGCATTTCATACTCAGGCCCCCAAAT